TAGAAGATTGAAGATTGAAGATAGAAGATAGAAGATAGAAGATTGAAGATCGAAGATCGAAGATCGAAGATAGAATACCTGGTAGCAGGCGGCATAGTAAAACAAAACAGGTTTTCACTTCACATGCTGTCATGGTTGTGATGCTGCCTGCCTTGCATTGCAAAGCTTGCAGGTGACACATTGTTGAGCATTTGTCGAGCGTTGAGTAGAGTGAAATGCTCAAACACTTTTGACTTCAGACTCAAATTCTTTCAGTGTAATGCTCAAATGCTTTTCAAGCATCATGCATCAGGTGACTGATGATACTATATATATATATATATATATATATATATATAATTTTTTTTTCCTTTAATGAGCTGATAAAGCCACGGCTTGTAATTCAAAAAGCTTGTAAGATGGTGCACTCATTAGTCAAAACTGTAGTGTTTCTACGTCAATTTGTTCCCTTAACTGAGTGTGACAAAAAAGTTTGGTATCATTGCTCTGAAATTTCAAAAACAGTTAGTAATTTCTCCCTCTCTCATTAAACTACATCATCATGACATCACCTAGCTGCTTACAGCACAATTGTTCATGCTGACACAACCACAACATCACACTTGTAACTGCTCCATATTTGTGCAACTGGGAGGAAGAAAGAGGGTCCCGAACATCTGTGAATGTGCCTCCAGCTGCTAAAGAAGCCCAACAGCATGCAAGGCCACATCTCATCTTCACATCTTGCCTTCAAGTGTGCAGTGACAAATGCAGTGGGAGTGTCATAGAGTGCAGCACAGGACCGAAAATGTGAACAAAAACCCTGGCAAGGGGCATTAATAATTCATCAATAAGCCTTCTTAGAGAAAGAAGGGGTCCACTTGATGGGTGACTGAATATAAGCAGATTGTGTATCTTGCACGAGGCGATAAGTAATCTATACATTCCGGATTGAGTTATTCGTGCGCGTGTGTGTGTGTGTTTGTGTGTGCGTGTGTTTGCGCGCGCGTCTGTGTGCTAATGCGTGTGCCCCCAAAACAAAAATCCAGGCCGAGTGTAAGCAGAGTAGGGCCACATATGCGTGCACCGGCAGTGGCGGCAGCACAAAGGAGTCGACGACAGATGAGCGCATGGACAACGGGAGGAGATGCACATGCAGCCGGCGTGCACAGAGGGGTGGGGAAGTGAGGTGATCGAAGAGTCTTGCCTTCATTGACTTGATGGCGTCGTAGGCGTCCTGCACCGAGCGGATGTCATCGTAGACGGTCTGGTGAGGCAGCAGCAGCTGGTTGAGGATCTGCAGAGACCCGGCACGGTAGCGGATCGCTTCCAGCGTCATGACCGACACAACGAGGCGGGATGTTGGGGAGGATAACACGGACGGGAGGGTAGCTGGCACGCACACATACAATATCACACACGCACACTTTAGCACGCACACTCGTCCCTTGGACTGTTGAGCGCGGCCTGGCTGGCAGTCGGCTGGTATCAACACGAACAAAGTTGGCGAGACAAGGAGGGAATGAGACGCAAGAGGAGGAAGAAATAGGAGGAGAAAAGGGAGAGGAGGGTTGGAGAGCTTCACCTACACTGACAGGCAGACCGACACGGAACCACGTGTCCACAAAGCCGGAAGTCCTCGCATAGTTAGCCGCGCCCACCCAACGCTCTCTCCAACGTGATCTCTCCTCCTCGCTGTGCCCGTGCCCCATCCCCCCTTTTTTCTCTTTTAGCCCCTTTGTCAGGGGAAATTTCAAATTCAAAGCCGTTATTTGCATAACACCAAAGCCTCTTGTTTCCCCAGACAATTGCAAGAATTTTCTCCCAACAATGCTTCTACTTTTGCTGCATTCAGTCGTACTAAGCTTCATTATTGTTTTCGTTAAAGAATTGCACTGAAAATGGAAGAAAATTGTCATCTCTATGTACATGTACTATAGTGCACACGTGTAATGCTTCCCAACCTTTCAGCACACACTGTTTTACATTAGAAAACGCCAACAGCACATCACCAAAACAAATCTCACCAAAAGTGGATACACAGTTAAATGCCATCTGGCTCCCCAATCTTAAATGCGCCAATTACGGCACTGTACACTAGGAAAAAAATCTCACAGGGTGTGCCCGTTATAGTAGATCGTAAGCTAACAGTAGTTCTCGAAGAGCGTGTCGGTAGCTCTCTTGGAATTAACTCAAACACTGCCAGAAACCCCAGGTTTATGCTTTTGTTTGTAGCTGCCTGACAACAGCATTGAAGGAGTTCAAAAAATTTGTAGGCTCCCTCGTGCCATCCATTGTGAAATTGTAACTTGATTGACGTGTCAATCAAATTACTTGTTACTTGTAAGAAAAGTTCACAATGAAATTTAAGTTCATCCTTAATGTTACAGAATACGTAATTTAAAAAAAAAGGGATTACATTCAGGACTATTCTCTTAACCCTTTGATGCACAACATGCGTCAAAAGTGACCCGGCTGAGTTTTTATTTTCGATATCTTTGCAGTAAATTAATGTCATCATTCAGTATTTAAGCTATTCCCCAATTAACTTGTTTTTGACCATCACACAAAATTATTTTTGTTTTTTCCTTTGTTACTTTTTGAATAATAAACATTTTATATAACTACCCTTCTAATGCACAACATGGGTCTAAATGACCCATATTAATTTTCTATATTATGTTATGCATGGCTGAGTTTTTTATGATGTAACTTTGAAAAAAAATAATTTTATAATTTTCTTTCCAAGTATGCAGTAGATATTTTATTTTTGATTACCACTGATCATTATTTCCACTTTTCCTATCTTACGTTATGAACAAGCACACCTTTTGTATTTCTAACGCAAGGTTACACACCTGGGCCAGAAAGACCCACATTTATTTACTAGCTATTGCATTTGGAAAGAAAAGACATTTCAGAGCTCTGCACAAGTCCCTTTGCCCATCTCTAATACATGTAAGTATTGTTTTTCAAATGCTCTTACGTTGCCTCGAAAGATATTTGGTGACAATTGAGAATTGCACATAACATTTGATTAGGTTTAGTCTACTTTGAGTGTGACTTGTTACTTTATTTTCTCCACAAAAACCTGGCATTTGAAAAGGTGGGTGTTGATTTTTTTTTATCCTATATTTGGCATCTGTGCATACAAACTGCATGCATACTGTACATATTCCAAGGAATGATGTCAAGTTTTATACACATAGTGTGTGTGAGAGATAGCTATATATATATATATATATATATATATATATATATATATAAAAAACACGATGGTGAAACTGATTATGACCTTTAAAGGGTCTTCATGCCATGAAACACTGAGAAAAGATGTCATTAACTAGCGTATCAACAGTGTAGTGACAAAAACACACAGAGTTTACCATTTATTCATATTAAAACAAACCCTGGACAAAACATGACAGCATTGATTCATTCCCACTTTGAATTGCACAAACATCATGACAAACACTTGAAAATAGAGAGAATTAATGCTGTACTTCAGTATATAAATAGTATGTGATTCTGATTGCCCCGACATGAAAGAAAAGAATATAAAAGCGATTTGTTCAACAAAACCAAGCCAAGAGGGATACATACACTGATGCAGATCTAGAGAAAATAATGCTGTAATGTCAAACAATAGTCCACACCACTTTCTGATAAACTCAATCTTTCAATGGAGTGTACCAGTAGCCTGATTACTCTCTCTCTCTCTCTCTCTCTCTCTCTCTCTCTCTCTCTCTCTCTATAATGTATTTATTTTTTAATTGCACGCACAGTGAGATAGTCAGCTGAGCAAAGTTTTGCAATATGCCGTCCTGTCCAACTCAAACCATCCAAAATCCACACTGATTACTGATGAGCTTGTCACTATGACAACAAGAAGAAGACAGTCTCTTACTCAAAAGTGTGGGTAATGTGTCAGGTTGTGTTTTGAGGTGATGTAGCGTTAAAAACTTGTGGGATCAGACGACATGAGTAAAGCATATTGATACTTCTTCAAGTTGATATGCATGACTGGAGCTAATTTACTGATGCAATAAAACTGTTTAACACATGTTAAATGATTGGTTAATCCTTTGTGTGAAAAGTAATCATACGGCACTTCAACAGCATCAATTTAAGTTATTATCATTCTCATTATTATTTATTTTTGCAATACTGTTATCAACAGCAATCCATTTGAGATTAAAGAAACTTGAAGTGGTACATTCACCTTTCTCCAGAATTATTTAGGAGACAAACGTAAACAAAAAGGTTCATTTTAAGTTGCCAGCTGCGTCCAGGATTTGTCTGAATAAATCCAGAGTAAAAGCGGTAGCAGCTGTTAATTATTTTCTATTAGACGGCATGGAGGGCTTAAGTCTGTGTAAGACTTGGAAGAAAATCCAAATGGAGCCGCGTGTAACTCTGAGTAATCTCTGAATGTATGTGAAGGAATTAGTGTGAAGACGGAGGAGATGAAGGAGGCGACAAAGAAAGAGCAAGTGGATGATGTAGACGGCAGCGCTAAACGGCAACCACATTCATGGCACGCTGTTAACACCTCCCCCTTCCCGCAAAAACCAAAGGCAACTTTATGTCTGTTCTAGTTGTCTCCTTGGTGAAACAAATACTAATCCCTCCTTATGAGATGTAGGTTGTCATACCCCAAAGCCCCGTTATTTGTTTTTGGTTTTTTTTAACTCCCGCATCACACCACTGCAAATGCATCAGATTACTTTAATCTCTGAACAGTGGAGCAGAAAGATTAGTTTAAGATCCATTACGCCCACAAAATAAGAAGGAAAGGTGCTAAAACACCTCAGAGTATTGGTCAAGCACATACCGGTACACATTTTGGTTACGTGTGCTTAAAACTAGACATAAGACAAATGTGCGAATTTTTGAGAAGGTATTCTGTAGAGCAACTGTCTCTTGTGTTTCCTTTCATATAAAACTATTCTGTTATTTATTTTTATTGAGGCTTGCATTTCATGTTTCTTTTTTTTCCCCCAGAAAATATAAATGGACGAAGCACAAGTGGCTCCCATGCGTTCGTCTTGGATGTACAGACAAGAATAATGTCAAAGGCTTGAGAGCAGAACGCTCGAGTGTTTGTATCTGTGTATACGTGAGTGAAAAGAGAAAAGACAACAGTACTATAGCCAATCCTTGGCCAAACTAGTCTCCCCTTATCCAGCACGTTTCCTTTTCAGTGATTCCAGCTGATGAATGAAATAGACAAACAAGATCAACCCTTTCCACATGAGATCATCAAAAGATGGCGCACAATGTATTAGCCATACACTACACAGAAACCCTCACCTCAGTCTCGACCATCTTCAGCCTACTCAGAGCATCCTTGGCAGCCTCCTATAGATTCATTCACATGAAGAGAGACTGTCAGTAACTGGCGGACTTCATGTTTGAATAGCAGTCGACCCTGACCCCGCCTTCACCCTATTGCCTTGACTTGAAAATTTCTTCACGGAGTCAGCGAGTCCCTGGGTGAAGCGCCGGAGCACATTTTCATACTCTGATTATGGAGGAGGAAAACCTGAGTTAGATTTCAATGCTTTTTTTTTTTTTTTTTTTACAGGAATCAGATGTTTGTGGGTTACCCGAGAGCAGAGCAGGAGAGGCTCGCTCCAGCTGCGCTTTTTGCCACTGCAGCCTGTGTGTGATCTCTTTGTGCTGATGAATGACATCAGATGGGGGATCCCGTCGGTTCTTTTTGTACTCTGCAATCTGAGAGGAGGAGGACACAATAGCAATAAGAAATGAAATGCAACATTATACACAGCTAAACATATACACCATAGTACCTTTCTCTCTAACCGTTCCTTGTCGTAGTTGAGGAGGCTGAAGCTGTGCAGCTTGTACTGGGGAGGAGAACTGCTGGAGCGGCTGCTCCTGTTGCTCAGCTCATGTTTTGTTTTAGATCGAGGAGATGGAGCCTGACACATTAAAACATATGCAAAGTTGTTGAAATGACATAATATATGAGCATTCTTAGGTCTTTCTGCATGAATACAAAATGGTCATCTATGTCCACAAAACCTGTGGAGGAAACCCTCTACTTAAGTAATGCACAATTTGGGACCCTCACTTACAATGCATGTAAATGATGCTCTTCAGCACTGAGCCCAAAAGACTTGTACACTCATTCACATTAATGGTGAGAATCTTACATCAGTGATGAGCAGTGAAGGAGCACTCAAGAAGGTTGAGAATGTCAGCTTGAGATAACTTTTCTGCTTGGACAGCAAAACAAGTTCGGTGACTCACCCGTTCTTTTTGTCTCTCTGGAGGTGAGAGAGGAGAAACCGGTTCAAGGATTAGCCACTTTTCTGTCGTCGGCTGGAGTTCTACCCCGGATATGGGTTCTCTGATCTTCACCCTCACCTCTAACTTGCCACCTGTGGCTTTACGTCCATCCATCACCTAGGACAAACAAACATCTCAATTTCGTTTGCACATTTAGGCATATGTATAAATGGTATACAGGTCTTCAGAAATGAATAAAGGAGAAATGAATAGAGTGTTGCAGATAGTATCACTTGAACTACCGCCTGTAACCAGCGGAAGAGACACCTGGCATTTATGGGAGTACCAGAAAATTCACAAGGCGCTTCACTCGAGCCAAATGTCAGTAGCATCAACTCGGGCTGTTCATGCAGTCAGAGCACCGAGACT